AGAAGGATATCATAAAAAAAAAACATACACCAAGGTACATCCTCCTGTAAATTTCCAGTAAAATCATCCATAATTAAAGCAAAAAGATATGGCTTAAAGCCAATCCCTGATGTAATCCAACAAAAATTGGAAAATATTTGGTAACTCCTTCAGTTCGAACACAAGTAACAGCTCTAGTATACATATCTTTAATGACTTGAATATAAGTCATATCAACACCTTCCCTCTCAAGAACTCTCCAAAGAATATCTCTTGGAACCTTATCGTAAGCTTTTTCTAAATAAAAAAAAAATCAAATGTAGATCCTCCTTATTATCTCTAAACTTCTCCATCAAACCTCTCAATAAATGTATAGTTTCCATAGTAGACCTGCCCAGCATAAATTCAAATTGATTATGAGAAATCTTTGTAATACGTCTTAACCTATGTTCAATTGTCATCTCCCATAATTTTAAAGTATGACACATCAACTTAATTCTTTTATAATTGGCACATTCTTGTGCATCCCCTTGATTCTTAAAAATGGGGACCAAAATACTCTTCATCCACTCCTCAAGAATCTTTTTAGTTTTTAAAATAATATTAAAGAGTTTAGTAAGCCAAGAAACTCTCAAATCTCATAAATATTTCCACACTTCAATTGGGATATCATTAAGTCCTACAGACTTTCCACCATTGGTTTTCTTTAAAGCCACCTCAACTTCTTCTTACCAATGCGACGGTAAAAATGAAACGTTTTATTATTATCAACGATATAAATATCACTAAGGTCGATCGAATTTTCAGAAAATTATTAAAAAGTTTATCAAAATAATTCACCCACCTATATTGAATATCTTTTTTCTAAGAAAAATACTTTTTTATTTTCATCTTTAATACACTTGTGTTAAATCTTTACTTTTCTTATCCCTTTGTTTAGTCAGATATACATATCTTTTCACCCTCCTTAATATCTAATTTATTATAAAGATCATTAAAAGCAGAATTTTTAGCATCACAAATTATTTTTTTAGACTCCCTGCGGAACATTTGATATTTTTCTCAATTCTCTAAGCTTTTACATTTAGACCAATTTTTATAACATAATTTCTTATATTTTTTCTTTTTTTGCACATTATTATTCTACCACCAACTATTTTTATTTATAAAAACTTTTTCTTTTGATCCTCCAAGTATATCTTTTACTACTTGATTAATAGTATTTGTTATTTTATCTCACATAACATTCGCTTCTTCATGAACAACCCAAATATTGAAATTTTTAATTTTACTCATAAAAATAATTTTATTTATCTTTTAAGTTCCTCATCTAATTCTACGATGATGAATTCTAATATGTTTTATTTTACAACTCTTCATCTTAAAATCTAGAACTAATAATCGATGTTGGGTACTTAAATCCTCACTTGGAATAACCTTACAACCTTACAATCTTAACCTTACAATCTTTACAATCTCGACGATCTCTTCTTCTCATAAGAAAATAATCAATTTGTGTTCTATTAGATCTATTTTTATAAGTAATAAGATGCTCATCTATTTTCATGAATAAAGTATTAGTAATAATAAAAGCATACGCTAAAGCAAAATCTAAAATGGTTTTACCTTCATCATTAATCACTCCAAAACCGTAGCCACCATGAATATTTCTAAAATCTTCAACCACTACAACGACGTGTCCATTTAAATCTCTTTCAATAAAAATTCTTTCTTCAAGAGGTATCATTTGTATTAAGTCTTCTAAGTCATTCCAGAATTTATCTTTAGACCCTATATCTAAAACTGCTTGAGGAGCACAAACACTTATAATATTAAAAATCTTACTATCAACGATAATCTTAAGGGCTATAATTCTATCTCTATTAATTTTTATAACATTATCTGTCAAACTCTTATTCATAATGACATCTATATTATTTCTAGTGCGACTCTAGCCAAAATAGAAAAGTTTAAAACCTAAGTTATCAATCTCCTTAACCTTTTCTTCAACACATTTAGTTTCTTGAATACATAAGATATTAATCTTTCTATGAATCATAATATCAACTAATTTCATTAGTTTTATTAGTTTCATAGACTAACTTCTTTACCTGCATCTGTCTGTAATGTGGGAACTCTTGCTTATTTGACATTACACCCGGGCCCCGGTGTGGCGACTATTGCATATTTTTCACTGTATTCAGGTCATACAGCGCGTCGCTTCCAAGGGACGCTCTAACACTTACGCAATGATCAAAATGATTCATGTCGTGATTTTTTTTCGACAATTTTTACGTTAATTGTCGACTACCTAACGCAACCCTCCAGTTTTCACATCCGGGCTTGAGACCGACAATGACAGTGTTTGGTGCCAAAAACCAATGCATGAAATATATATACATATATATATACATACATTTCACTTTTAAAAATTAAATAACTTTTGATATATTTGACGTGATATTAAAGATTTAAGTGTTATACATATAAATCTGAAAGTTTAGCCGTTAGATATGTAAATACATAAGAATTGTGTGCTAAGTAATTTCCCTATAAGAAAACTGACACCTATAAAAGAGCAAATGACTAACAAAATGGTCAGACAGCAGGCGACAAATCTCACTCCATCTTTGATGATGATAGTCAAAATAGGATCATGCTCAAATTCAAAGAGAGAATAAAAGAAGCAAGACAAGAATGCTACTAAGAAAAAATGTAAAGATAATATTTAAATTATCACAAAACAACTATAAAAGAACCAGTTAAATTGAGTACTTATAAAGATAAAAAGGTCAAATATTTATCACAAAACAATTTGATTGACTGAGAAAACATAGAATAACTATCACCATCTTCCAGGGACCTATCCAATTATTTTGGAATCAGCTTCATATATCCTCATTTTAATTCATTATTTTCTAAGTGATGTGCAAGGTGTTAAATACACTCAACAAATTTTATTTACACATCTAATTAGTGCATTTTCAACTCGATTGTGCATGTCAAACTCATGACTATATTTTAATTATCCTATTGTATATAAGTATCACTCTAATGACTCATTTAATACAACTACAACAACAACAAGCCTTTATCCCACTAAGTGGGGTCAGCTAAATGAATTCTTTTTTCTCCATTATGTCCTATTGAATGTGATATTTTCATTTAATTCTAATAAATTAAGATAATTTTTTATACAACATGCACAAATCAATTCAGGTCTACCTTTACCTTTCTTAACATATGTCAAATCTAAAACATTTACTCTCCTATCTGTATCTGTGTCATCAGATGGTCGACTTTTAATGTGACCAAATCATCTAAGTCAACTCCTCTAATCTTGTTTTTCATTGAAGCTACTCCAACCCTTTCAAGGATATATTTGTTTCGCATGTTGTCTCTAAGTGTAAAGCTACTCATCCACATTAGCATTCACGGATTGCAATTGTCGCCACCATCTTATAACATTTTTCAAGTCTAAGCTGTATTTTCTATCACACAGTAGGCCAGGTGCATTCTTCCTCCACTTCAACCAACCAACTTGAATTCTACTAATAACATGTCCATCTATATCACCATCACTTTGAACATTGAACAATAGACAATAGACCCGATATATCTAAAATTCACTCGTTTTAAATTCACGCAAACTCTATCATTTCTATGAACTTCGTAAACAAATGACTTATAAAGAGATGCATACAACTTCGATCCTCGTGATTGCTCGAATCACGCAAAAATAATTCATTTCTTATGAAAGGATTAAAATGCAAATATTAATTCAGTCATTGATCTACAAGAAAATTAACAGTAAAGTAGCAAAAGAATCATTGGAAGAACATAGTTTTGAACCAGAGAAACATAATCGACATAGATCTTTTAACAATGATGACTGATAGCTAGAACAGAAAAATCATCAATCTCATATAATTTAACCGAATCAAACAATATTGAAAATTTTACCTATTTAAATTGCGTACAAAAAAATTCAAGCAAAATAACGGCAGGAATAACAAAGATGTTATATCTAATTTGATGTGTTTCCATGGAGCGACAAATAGAATATAATGCTTTAACACCGCAATCCAGGATCATGTGAAATGAGTTTGCATATGTTAATAAATTTGGGAAGGCCTGAATACTAAAATGAATTTAATGTTGAGTTGATTCAGCAAATGTAATACAGCTCCCCAAAACTATGCTATAAAATTGAAACAATGGCTCATTTAATTACTCAAAATTATAAAATATGTCTAGAAAAATGAAGAAAATTGTTATATTCACCATTTTGGATGGATGTAATTAGACACTGACATTGATTTTAAACATAACAAATCTCCTCAAAACTCCTTTAATATAATAATTTCATTCACACTCAAAAATAAATGAAACTAAAAATATCTTTTTTCTAAAATTTGTTTTTCTATTTACATACAACTAAATGAGCACAAAGAAAAGCACAATATCACAAAGCATCAGGCTTATTAACAGTCAAACAAAAAATTAACTTACTTTTTTCTTTTTCCGATAAGGTTCTGAAAATGCCTCATTCTGACTCATTTCATGCTTCATCGACAAGTTTTTCCTGGATTAAAGACATGTATTAGGTAAGACGTAGGCTTTTCTAACTAAAAAATAGTGATAGAATAGAAGCTCGACCTAACAGAAAATATAGAAATATTTCACTAAGTAATGAACCTATAGCGGTGAATATGCTCACTAACCCTTTACCAAAAAAAGCCAAAAATCACTAAGTTACATGTATGTATGTATGCATTCATGCATGCATGCATGTATATAAATATAAATATATCAAAGTGCATTTGGGATCCACCCGTGTGGGAACAAACGAGCCTCGAACCCGCGACCCCAGAGTTCTTACACATTCTGCCTACCAAAGAGTCAACCGGTTTGCACATGTGTGTGTGTCGTCAATGATTTAATAATAATAAATATTATATGATATCCTCAACCATCTAACGGTTTGCTAGATGCTTTACCAAGTTTATCAAGTTAGTAAAGAATAAGAATTTGATTAATCTGAAATTTCAAAAATGATAAACTCTAAAATTTATTAACTATTATCTAATAAAGAAACTATTTTTATTAAGTATGATATGATTGGAAAATAATTAGAAAGTTATATTATAGTTAAGCCTTCCATATAAGTAACCTGCTCAAATTTGAGCTTTCTACCAAGTAGATTGGCCTCAGTCACCAGCCATAAAAGACCCTGGTTAATGGTTCATCACCAGGTAATAGCTCTCTGGCTTACCAGGCATACAAGACCCTGGTTAATGGTCCTTAAAAAGTAGGATTAAGGTACTCTCGTCGGTATTCAAGAATAGGTGCATTTGCACCTCTGCCATTAAAGAAAGCTTTTTCGCCATGAGAAGAGATTAGAAGTAAAATGCTACACGTAAACATAGTTTAAATTTGACTCAACAACATACAAGTCATTGTTATATTTATTTTAGAGAGATTTACGTACGTAGCACCCTCTTCTAATGCATTAACATTTTCCACACCTAAACTTTCAAATTTACATATATAGCACTTTGGTTCTTTAAGCCAATGCATGAAAATGTGTATTTCACTTTTGAAAAGTGATAACAGTGTTATTTTTGATGTGATATTCAAAATTTTAGTGTTATGTGTGTAAATATGAAAGTGTAGGCGTGAGATATGTAAATACATAAGAATTGTGTGCTATGCATCTAAATGCCCCTTTATTTTATTGCAATATTAGCTTTGCTTGACTTGTATAGATTTATCTTTGTATGGAGATATATGTTTTGAAAGCTTATATATATTATTATGGTTGAATATCCCCTTCTATTTATTCTCTTATGTTACGCTGCCCACACTTATAGTATTATATCTTTTCTATCACCATCAATATCTTTTATTTGATTGTACCAGTTACATCTCATGTTTACAAGTTTATGTGCTAGTGTAAAAGAGTGAGAACTTTTATAGTAACTTTTTAACTTCTTTACTCTCATTTTAGCATTAACTTACCTGTTTACCTCATATATGTGTTTAAGCATTTGTTTTATTCGGTTGTGTTTGCTATGTTGGTTTGAAAGAATTTTGAAAGAAACTAAATGTTGGTGTGTCATGACTCGACCCGAGGGATTGAAACTTTCAAGGCAGAAACAAACGGTCAAACAGTGAAATTTAAAATTTTCTACTCTCAATCTACTAAAGAAAGTAATTTAATTAATAGATAATAAATTTACCTTTTTGTTTATTGACCTTGTCTTTTGTAAAAAATTCTCTCCTTTACTGCTAATCATTTATAGAAAAACTTAAATCTAAAATTTATTAAAATAATACAATGAGTTATCCAAGATAAATCAATAAAGTAATCAAACTTCTAAACTCCATTAACCCAAGAAAAGCTATAAGCACTCTGTTACTATATTATCTTTAAGAGTAATTTAGTTGATAGAAGGCAATGTTTTAAAAGCCGAGGGCATTGGGTGGAGCGTTATAGTTGTTATAGGGCGAGGCTTAAGCCCCAAGGCGTCTGTCGTGAGCCCTAGTATAAAAAAATAAGAAATATAAATATTAAGAGGAAAAACATAAACTCATTGTGTTTAATAACAAGATTAATGGATTGTGTGACCAAAAAATAGATCAAATTCGTGGATTTACTGTAGCTATAATGAAATTATTGTAGCTACAATGAACTCACTGTTGTTACAGTGAAATAATCTATTGATGCATTGTAAAACAATAAAAATCGCATCATTTGCCAAATGAAATCGTGTTGGTAAGAAGCAGATGACGATAGGAGAGAAGTGGGTGCGGCATCTTATGCATGCGAGAGAGGAAGCTTCGATGCGGCATCTTCTGCATGTGAAAGACGATCACCTGCAAGAGACAGCGCAAATGGTTGTGCCAACGGGTCGGCGATCGCATGTGTGCAAGGGACTGCGCAGAAGACTAGACAGATGGCCGTGAAATCATCTGCATACGAGAAAGGAAACAGACGACTGTGGGAGAGAAGCTGGTGCAAGTTCGTCTGCGTGTGAGAGAGTAGCTTGAAGTGGAGTGGATCAGGTGGGTCTTCAAAATTAGGATTTTTTCCCATTTTATTCAATGGGGTGTACGCATTTTGAGGCAATCTACACTCACGGACGTTAAAGGCATTCTCATGCGTACACCTCCTGAGTTTTACGCCCCTCTCGTGGGCTTGGGGCAAGTAGACTCACGCCTCGCCCCAGGGTGCGCCCCATGAACGCCGATAGAGATGCAATGTAACATTTTCATTTTTATGCTACAATTATTTGTCAATACTCCCTAGCTTTGACTTTAGATTTTATTTTTGTACTTGGTTCTTGTTTTTGAAATAATTAAGACCTTAAATTACATTTCTAAGGTTCTCCTTAAGAGATGATAAATAAAATAATGCACACTAAAATGACAAAATCTAATGTTATTAAAATCATACTTTGTGTTGCATGCTCATGCCATCATTATATCATACAAATAATAGCATATCCATAATGAGATGAGAATAAAGGATGATAAATATAGTTTGAGTTAGGTAGCTACCAACAACAACAACAAAGCCTTAATCCCACTACGTGGGTCGGCTACATGAATCTCTTTTCTCCATTGCGTCCTGTTTAGTGTCATATTTTCATTTAGTTATAGTAAATTAAGATCATTTTTTATACAATAAGTCCAAGTCTTCCTAGGTCTACCTCTGCCTTTCTTAACACAAGTTCAATCTAAAACACCTACTCTCCTAATTGGATCATCAGATAGCCGACGTTTAATGTGACCAAACCATCTAAGACGACTTTCTCTAATTTTGTTCGTCACAGGAGCTACACCAACTCTATCACGGATATATTCATTTCGCATTTTGTCTCTGAGTGTAAAGCCACTCATCCACCTAATCATTCTCATCTCGACAACACTTAACTTATTATTATGCTTCTCTTTTAAAGTCCAACATTCAGCGCCATAGAGCATTGGGTCTCAACCACCATCTTATAAAATTTTCCTTTCAGTCTTAGCGGTACTTTTCTATCACACAAAAGGCCCAAAGCATTCATCCACTTCAACCAACCAACTTGAATTCTACTATTAACATCCCCATCTATATCACCATCGCTTTGGACAACGGATCCAAGATCTCTAAATCGTTCACACCATTTAATAATATGATCACCCAAAGTCACACTTCTTTAAAGCCTCTTCAACTTTTTTTTCACTATTGCGACGGTAAAAATGAAACGTTTTTTTATTATTCACGATATTAAGATCACTAAAGTCGATCGTATTTTCAAAAACTTTATTAAAAAGTTTATCAAAATAACTAACTCGCCTATGTTGAATAACTTTTTATAAGAAAAGTACTTTTGATTTTCATCTTTAATGCACTTTACTTGAGTTAAATCTTTACTTTTCTTTTTCCTTTGTTTGGCTAGTTTATACATATATTTTTCACCATTCTTAGTGTCTAATCTATTTTAAAGATCATTAAAAGCAGAATTTTTAGCGTCACATATTGTTCTTTTAGACTCCTTGCAGACCGTTTGATATTTTTCTCAGTTCTCTAAGTTTTTACATTTAAACCAATTTTTATAACATAACTTCTTATATTTTATATTTTCTTGCACATTATTATTCCACCACCAACTATTTTTATTTATAAAAATTTTTCTTTAGATTCTCCAAGCACATCTTTTGTTACTTGTTTAATAGTGTTTGTTACTTTATCCCACATAACATTTGTTTTTTCATGAACATCCCAAATTTTGAAATCTTGAATTTTACTCATAAAAATAATTTTATTTATGTATTTTAGGTTCCTCTATCTAATTTTACGATAATGAGTCTTAGTATTATTTATTTTACAACTCTTCATCTTAAAATCTAGAACTAATAAACAATATTATGTACTTAAATTCTCACTTGGAATGACGTTACAATCTTTACAATTTCGACGTCTCATAAGAAAATAATTAATTTGTGTTTTATTAGATTCACTCTTATAAGAAATAAGATATTTATCTCTTTTCTTGAATAAAGTATTAGTAATAATAAAATCATACACTAAAGAAAAATCTAAAATAGTTTTACCTTCTTCATTAGTTACTCCAAAACCGTAGCCACCATGAGTATTTCTGAAATTCTAAAGTTTACTACCACTCTACCGACATGTTCATTTAAATCTCCTCCAATAAAAATTATTTCTTAAGAAGGTATCATTTGTATTAATTCTTCTAAGTCATTCCAAAATTTATCTTTATACTGTATTCAAACCTGCTTGAGGAGCATAAGCACTTATAATATTAAAAAATCTTAGTATCAATGATAATCTTAAGGGCTATAATTCTATCTCCAACTCTATTAATTTTTACAACATTATCTTTCAAACTCTTATTTATAATTACACCTATATCATTTCTAGTGTGACTTTTACCAGAATACCAAAGTTTAAAACCTAAATTATCAATCTTTTTAGTCTTTTCTCCAACCCGTTTAATTTTTTGAATACATAAGATGTTAATTTTTCTATGAATCATAATATTATTTAATTCCATTAATTTACTATTGAGAGTACCTATATTCCAAGATTTTATCCTAATATTAGTTTCATTAGTTTCATGGATTAACTTACTTACCCGCATTCGTCCGTAATGTGGGAACCCTTGCTTATTTGACACTACACCCGGGCGCCGGTGTAACGGCCCTTGCACACTTTTCACTATATTCAGGCTATATAACATGTCGCTTCCAGGGGACTCGCTAGCACTTACACAATGATCAAAAGGATTCATGTCATGATTTTTTCGACAAATTTTACGCTGGTTGTCGACTACCTAACGCAACCCTCCACTTTTCACATCCGGACTTGGGACTGGCAATGACAGTGTTTAGTTAAGTACCTACCATCTTAGAAAAATAAGTGTGAATGAGCCAAGAGTTGTTAGCCACGAATGTTAAAATCAATCAGGCTTGGACCTTGAGTTTAGCCACCAATCTTGAAAATCAAAACTAAATTTCATCTAAAATGATTAAGAAAATTTAGACATCATACCTAACAATATAAAGTCATATAAAGATTTGCTAGGTGTATAAGAAGTTAGCAACTATGAAAATAATTGAACAATGGTTACGTTTAAAGTTCTTGTAATCTAAAGACAAGGGTTGCTTGGGCAATTTAACATGATTCAATGAAGCAAAAAATATTTCAAAACTCATTTATTAGATAAGTGTTTAAATGTTTTCCAACATAAAAATTGAAAAAATTATGAATGTAAGAACTCAATGATGATTAGTGTTATAATTTAACTCCGACAATTTTATATACTTAAAGAAAAAACTTATTATAGATATTAAATATTATAATTAGGAAATAATTAAAAATTTCAAACATTGCTAAACCTTATGAAGAAGCAACCTCCTATTACTAGGCTTTCCTGCAAAGCCAATGCCCCTTAACCATGGTCTTTATGGATTGCACTTTTGACAAATATTGAGTAGTTCTCATCTTTTCAAGTAATGACCATTTGGATTATTTAACATCTGGAAGAGCTTTTTGTAATTGAATCATTTGAAGTAATCTTTGTGTTCATCCAAGAGAAATCACCATGCATGTGTTTATTATTAATCTACTACATTTTCATTGCTTTCTTTAATTTTTCACTTTCAATTAAGTATTGTATATTGAATATTTGAAACTTATCTTTGTAAGTTTGTTTTTTTTTTTTTTTTTGCACATCACAAAAGGCTATTAAGGTTTTAGAGAGGTTCAACCGATTGTGTCTAGTTTATTGTTCTAACACTTGAAGCTTAGAATTGAGTCACTCTTGGTGAGACTAAAGGAAAGACATATTGGCTACTCCATCATAGAGGAAAGAACTTCTCTGAAATAAGAATAGGTTGAAAGAGAAATCATAGAAAGAAGGAATAGGAATAGGCTTGAATAGGTTGGGCTGAACCACAAAAAATTCATTTGTTTATTTTATTATAATTAGACTTATTTTATTACACTACTAATTTGCAAATGCTGCAGAATTTTAAGTTCATGTGGTGATTTATATATTGAATGCCTATATATGCTATTGTGGGTGAGCATATCTTTCTATTCGTGCTCTCAAGTTATAGTATTCACCCTTCCGCAATGTATTTTTTCAAATCTTATGTGCAAATGCATCTTTGATTGTATGTGTACGTTTATGCTTATCTTTCCAACTTGGTGTGCTATTGTAGTTGTCTGAGATCACTCATATTATGCTTATAGCTTGTTCACTTTCTTATTAGCATCACACTAACTTGTTTACTTGCATATTTGGGCTAAAGTGTTTGGTTGTAACATTCCATTGTGTTTAGGGTTTGAATTTTAAGAGTTCTAAGAGAAACTTGAATAGTGGGATGCATAAACAATCACCTTCCTCTTGGCATGCATAGACTTTATACTTCAAATATTAAAGCAGCGTCCTCAAATGATTTAAGAGATTAATAATACTTTAAATGCTGAAGATAAGCTAGTTTTGCATGATGATTACTTGATCTTAGATGACGGTAATAGAATAATGAGAGTTAAATAAACAGGCATGAGCCCTTGGAAAGAAATTGATAAAATCTAATTGTAATTGCTTAAGTTCTAAAGTACTAAATATTGCAGTAAAGATTAGATTATATGTTGCAGATTTAAGAATTTTAATTGTGATTATTTGAGATAATCGAATTATAAAAGCTTTAGAATTCGAAATACGATTGAACATAAAAATCCGCTAATTTGCTTAAAATAATTTGATGTGATGACTGTTATTTTATATTCTTGAAAAGTATTCCACCCATTTATATTACATTTGTAGGTGATAAAACAATTTCTTTAGTGCTAGATTCCGTTTGGCAAAGACCTTTAGTGTTGTCGAATGACTTGCCTTGGTATGCCTAGCGCTTTTGAAAACACAACTAATTAAACTAGATTTTTTTAAAATAACAGAGTAACATGTCTAATTAGGGAGAGTGCAACTCATTCACGTATACTATCTGAAGGGAAACACATAGTTGCTGACATGAGAAATCATATTTCTAACCACTAGCTGAAAATGACATTTCAGCAAAATACTTTTATTTTTCAAACATTACTCACCAAATTATAAATAATATTATCCGCTGTAAGAACTAAACAGGAATAATAATCTCAACTCTAGCCATGATATAAACATAAAACTGTCAAAATTTCCAGTCATGCATCCTTCAAGAGCAAAAGATATTCAGTCCTATCAATGAGGCAAAGTAGTACAGTTATATCTACAGCATTGTGTTTATTTTATCATTGACGGATTTTAATACGCATTGGAGGCAAAAACACATAAGAAACAGGAGTATGGCATACCGAACTCTTCTGCTTCTTCCTAGTGGAGGACAACTAGATGATGCTCTTAATGAAACATCCTTTTGCTCTTTTCGTTTCTCTTTAACGTATTGCCATCTAACACTAGATTGTTCACCTTTTTCGTTGCCAACAAATCCACATTTTATGCTGCTGAAAACACCTGAAACTGAGTGAACAAAAGAAACTAATTCTTCATATTAATCATAAAAACCTCTTTATACATAGAATGGTATCCATACATATTGATTAAAGCAGAAAGCGTAACTTCAAATTTCTATGGCACCATCTGCAAATGCCATGAATCAATAATCAATTGAAACGCAAAAATAAAATATTCAGAACCATAATCAAATTCATTAAATGCGTGAAACATTATTATTGTTTACAGCAGAGTGGAATGTTAAACAGAGACTCATATGTTTAGGCTCTAAAAGAAATACCAAAGTATTCAACATAACTTTATTAACTCAAGAAACAGGATATCCGCCACTGAAATGGTGAAATTTTGCGGCATCAGCATCCATCTAGCTGAAAATTAGTCTAAACATAAAAATGGTAGATAACGCCCTAAATCCCAAGGAACCCTACGAAATTTTCAATTGCGCAATTACCAAACGGAGCAATGCAAGACAAATACTTAAAACTCGCAATCAGTTTACCATTAACTCAACAAAGCAACGGAATCATATTGTCCAATTAAAGAGTTAGGAAATCGCTCAAAATTATCATCAATCAAATCATCGCCCTAAAAAACCAGCTCACGCAACGCTAGAATTCAATCTAGACAACGAAACGAAGGAGATGAGCAAAATCACCCAAAATCGAACATAATTAAAACTTGCAATCCGTTTACCATTCATTAAAAGCTAAGAAATCGCAACAAATTACCATCAATCACATCATCGCCCTAAGAAATAACTCAGATTCCCAGAACTCAATGTAGACGACTAAACAAAAGAGATGAGCATAATCACCCGAAATCAACGAGGATCCGTTGGCTACAGGAGTACATTTGAGGGATTCGCGATCTCCAGTATTTTTGGGGTTGGTGGATCCAGAGCTGGAGACGGAAGATTTGGAGCTGGAGTACTCTGGACTAATCTTGAGTTTGGGCTTAGGTTTCACTGAATCGGTCGCAGTAGAAGAGTGAAGGGATGAAGCGTTGGTGATATCGGCGAAGGGTTTTCTCCTCGGCCGCAAACTCATGCCCTCGGAACTGCGAGCTTCCATCGGAAGAACGAGTTGATCAGCACTGGAACCCTGTAGATTGATCGATCGATCGCTTGCTTTTATAGGAGAAGGCCAAAGTTTGGCGGGAGTCTGGATAGTGGAAGGAGGATCAAATCACGCTACATCTGGAAAGTGACATTGGTACGAAGTACATCATGACCGTTCGTTTCGTAGATGATGTAATCTGGCCATCTGCCACATTCGCAGTTTACACAGGATAAAAAATTCCTACCATTTAATGTTATAATTTATATGAAAAATATATGATTAACTTAATTTACAATTTGTTTTTCAGATTATTCCTACACAAACTCATAAATTATTCAATGATAAATCTATATCTAGGGCATGATACGGATCCCAAGATAATATTTTAAGTAAAAAATATTCAAATTTTGATAAAAATTTATCTAGGGTTTCAATTTCAACAAACTTTTAGTCAAACTGAGCTGCTCGATGAGACGCACCCAATGATATAAAAATTAGCCCAATTTGAATCAAATCAAGCCAAGATCAAGTGATTGAACCACACTTAGAAAATTTCCGAACACATTTGAAAACGGTTGATGAATATGACAAGTTTATACTCGAATGGAGCGTCTTAACAATATAAATCCAATGATCCCAAAATCCACTCAATTTTGACATCATCAAAGTACTTAAATATCTATTAAACTTCGCATGACGATGGAAGCTTTACGGATCGTCTGATTAAAATTTATGCATTAATTTTCTTTTTAATTGACAGTATCTATATAAAATTCTAACACTTTTCTAAACCTCGTTGAAAATAGGACAGAGAGCCAAAGGCAATGAGCACAACGCCTTAGTGCTATCCAGTTCGATTTGTAAGTCTATCGACTGGCGCCTCAACACCTTCATCCTAAAAGTCATAGCGCCATAGATGTAGGAATGAAAGGTGAGAAGATAGAGCCTGGAGCCCGACTATTAAACCCAGTGACATGGCACAGTGGCTTGCATTTAGATGACATGCATAACCGCAGAGTCGCGGCACGATGACCGCAACATAAGCGGTTATGCCTGTTGAAATTCAATTTTTTGCGGGAAGGATGATTTTGGAGGTGCATGTGGGAACACTACAGTGAGGGGCAGATGAGTCATATTAAGAATATAGAGTAAAGAATGTCTCCTAGTATATGTGGAGTGAGTGTGGGAGTATAGTAGAGTGCTTGAAGTGTGTGGAGAGTGGAAAGAAGAGGATTGTGGATGAGCATTTGAAAGAAGCTGACACCAAGCGAGCATATTTTATCACAAGAATTTTTGGGTGTGACTTTCCTTTCTTTTTTTTGCTCTTTCTTTTTTTTTTTTTTTTTTTTTGTACATTTTGCAAGCATAAACTGTAACTGATTTGATTTCCTTTGGATTGATGTTTATGGTTTGACTTTCATTTCTCCAAATTAAATTTATGAATATTTATATGATATGTATTGATGTATTAACCTTTTAAACTTATTTTACTCTTAACTTGATAAGTTAATTATTAAAAATATCTATGATTTAGATACCTTGGAAGATAATTAGCTAGTGAGAGAAATAGGTTAACGTACAGGAATTTGGTAGAATTGAAATATTGTTACTAAAGGAGTGTAGTCAATTGGAGAAATATGAATTTCATGGGGCATTTTGGCATCACATTTAATGTCGTATGTGTGTGAGATGTCCACTTGAATGATATGGGGATGTGTTGGGTCCCTTATAGTCCAAGACAGTCATTCAGACCTCTTATTACGTGTACCGAGCATGGAATCAGAATAAGTATTGATTCGACCCTATCGGAGAAAGCTCACCATTGGGTGACTGTAATTCTAACATGAAATGTATTTAATGTTGATTTTGATGTTTAGAGACCATGATCTATCTATTCAGAACCTCTTATGGTCAAGGTCGGTCACAGAATTCTCTCATGCACATTTCGAAAAATTGGGGTCAGACTGGCACACTTGGTGGGGGTCCGGGATGCATGCATTTCGACACTAAAATCACCAATTCAAAACCTCTAGAATATTAATGTCTGAGGTGCATGGTTGTATTTCAGTGATACATAATTTCTCATGGCTTTAATATCAATAGAAACCCTTACACAAATATACGGGTGCAAAATTGAGATTTTGATCGTTCGAACCATATTTAGCCCCGGTCGGCAATTTTTACCCAATACAGCACAATGTAAAGGAGTCTATTTTCATTCCTGGATATCCTTCAGAGGTCCAGGGAGCCTATTTACATTCCTGGATATCCTTCGAAAGTCCAGGGATCCATAGGAATCTTCCACTCAAAGTTTCACTGAAGAGGGGAAGAGAATAGGGAAAGGAAACTTTTTTATAAAGGGTGGCGCATAGGCGCCAACTCCCAATTGAAGTGATCCTCTTGCACTTACTCGAGAGATGAGTGCTTAAGTGCCAAGACCTCCTACAAGCCGCGATCCAGAAAGGAGGGGGCGCATATGCGTCCCCAATTGGTGGTTAATCGCCCCGTTAGACGCTCTGAAACAGAGAGTTGGGCATGCGCCCAATTTCTCTGTTGCATATGCACCCAAATAAAATTGTCGCAGAATTGCAACGCGGGAAACTAGATTGGTGGAGATCATTGTGCATTACCTGTAAGATAAAGAACCCTTTTACCTAGTTATTTTTCTAATTATAGAAGCATGTCAAAGGGTGTGTGTGTATATATATATATATATATAATTTTGAAAAAGAAAATTTTTAATTTTGAAAAAAAAAATGAGACCAAATGGATCTCATATATTTAATGACTTAAATAATTGAGCACAATGTTTCAAGTAATGTTTAATCTCAAAAGATGAGAATATCACTTGATAATAGGCACAACAATTCAAACTAAGAAATTTAGGATATTTATTTGGTCTGTGAAATTTCCAACAGATCGCTCCCCTATCTAGCTTGAAGACTAAGTAGAGTTCACGTTATCTAAGTTATTAATTCTCCTATAAGTGCAAGTGGATCAATCCTGGATCGACGAGAGCCCTCCATCGCTGATGTGGAGATTGGATGAGAGCCCTCCGCCACTGTTGTACATGAGCGCGCCCACAAGAAGCAGTCCGAGCAGTCTTGGATTGACATCAATCCCACGTGACGCGGATAATTGATGAGCTAAACTAGTTTGATGTTAATATATGTTAGCTTTGACTGAATGTAACCTCTTTTATTTGCATAAGAGATTCTAGCAGCTGAAGGAGAGCCGATGTTAGGCATTGAGAGGCATTACGATCCACGAGTGTTATCCTTCTCAGTACAAACTGTGGAGGGAAACTCCAAGACGGAAGAAGAAGGCCGAGTTTATGGGCTCAAGTCGCTACGACGCTCACCCTCCACCAGTGCATCTGCGGCTTCTACCTCAACCTCAACGAGATGAAGAGATTTTCAGACGTGTTGCGACATTCTCTATAGAGCTAGAAGCCTGCTTCTCTCAAATGAGGTCGAAGCTGGAGGCCAACATGGAAACAAAGCTGAAGGCTGAGTTGGATTCCTTCTTACAGCGGATAAGAGAGTGTGCCAAGATAGCGACAACATTGGAGCAGGAGGAAACGGCAAAGGACAATGAGGATGAGGATGAGGTTGACAAGATAGAAGAGGATGATTAAGAGGGTTTTTTTCTCTTTTTATATTTATGTACATTTGGACATATATTTTTCTGTAAACAGTGATGTCCAAATTTTAGAGTACATGAATTTTATTTATTTCATTATTTGATTGGATAAATTACTGTTTGACAGTTATGTTATTTTATTAAACCTTGGATTTGTGTATTAAATGTTGTGACAGTGGGTGTGGTAATGTAAATACGAAAGAAAGAATTAGTTTTTTTTCCTTATGCTACAGGTTTCTGACGTTTTACCGTCAGTTTTGTGAAGGTTTCAAACTTATCTGTAGGCAAAACCGACGACTAGTTGGTGAACAATTTTATGGATGTCTAACTGACACATAATTGACAGCTCAAGGTGCATCACACAAAACGACGGACGCAACACCTTTTCTGACAATTAATCCATTAGTTATAAAAAAAATAACACTTAACCAACGGTTTTTCTCTACATCAAAAAAATTAACAGGTGTGAAAATTTTTCGACAACTAACCCGTCGGTTATAAAAAATGACGCATAAATGAGTTATAACCGACAATTTTGTTTGCTTCAAAAAACCAACGGTGCGTCACTTTTCTGAAGTGTATCATGTCACTCTTACCGATGAAAGAACTGTTAATTATATGAGCTATCTATTATCGACGACTTGACTTTTCTCGAAAAAGCATCGACATCAAATTGTCGGTAAATTTATACCATTGGAATATCAATCAGTTTTTGGAATTACTAACAAATGTTTTACCTATAAGCTTAAAACTGTCGATAAACCATCAGTAATATTAAAACGATAGTTTTCTTATCATAACCAACAGATTGTGATCGTTGAAAAAAGCTCAAATTTCTGTATTGAAGTGGAATGATGCATGCAACACATAAAACATAAATGTGAATGAGCATGCTGCAAAGGCGATGGCCCAGAGGGTGGGTTGTCGTGAGGGCAGTAGATGGTGGGTGTGTCATGAAGGCAGCAACTCGGAGGGAATCCTACGTCAATTTTATGTGGTGCCACAAGAAAGAAGTGAAGTAATTCTAATTGGAGAGAATTACGCACCAGGGAGACTTGTTACGCAAGTCGTCCCTGACACAAACATGTGGGTGTCCAAGGTGAGTGTGCAAGAACAATGACCCATGTAAGACTCAAACGTGCAGGTGTCGGTCGATTTTTCAAAAATTATTTTAATTTATCTTTATTTAAAGTAGATATGATTTTGGTTTTGAAAATGTTATATTAATTTTGAAAATATGGCTAGATAAATCTCATTCATTTAATAGTTTATATAATTGAGCACGATACTACGAGTAATACACCACCCTAAAAGGTAAGCACGCCACTTGCTAGTTGATCAACCTTAAAACTACCTATTTTTCATACACATTTTATACTCATTTTTTTAGGACATTATACTTTAATGAAGGGTATTTTTTTTTGTGGTTGCA